CAAGATCACAATTACACAATTTGAACACAAGATCTAGCGAATTATTGGAAATACCTTTATATAGAACAGCGACCGGACAACGTTCTTTTCGCTACCGAGCTTCTTGTTTATGGAACAGTTTGCCAGAATGGCTAAAAGACCATAATCTTAATTTGGAACGTTTTAAAAGCGGGCTACAAAGTTATTTGGTTCAACAATTTCTCGATGAACAGAACTGAATTACATCTTTTACTGACTAAATTTTAAATTAAATAGTATTAATAAGTATTTTACCTTAAATATAACTATATTTTGGTGTTAATAGTATATTATATAGTTTTTAGAATATAATTTAATTAAGTAATTACTTTTTATAACTTCTGTATTGAACACTGAAAAACCCTTCTGGGAGTGTTTAACATTAATAATAATAATAATAATAATATATATATATATATACAATCAGATAAGTCAAATTGTTAGTAAATCCGGATTTTCCCATTCCTTATTTCGGCAGCAAAAGATGTAATATGTAGTTCTAATAGCAATAGTCATAATAATAATAATAATAATAATAATAAGAGTAAGAGTAAGAGTAAGAGTAAGAGCAACAATAACAATAACAATAACAATAACAATAACAATAACAATAGTAATAACAATAGTAATAACAATGGTAATAACAATAGTAATAGTAATATCCATAGTAATAACCATAGTAATAATCATAGTAATAACCATAGTAATAACCATAGTAATAACCATAGTAATAATAGTAATTTATAGTAATAATAGTAATAATAGTAATAGTAGTAATAGTAATAATAGTAATAATAGTAATAATAGTAATAATAGTAACAATAGTAATAATGAAAACTTTATTGAATTTTTTATGCACTTACAATTGAAAATCTCACTGTTAAAGGTAATTTACAATTGGCTACTTGATACGCTATATATTACTACATTTACATAACACATGGACATAATTATATGATACAAAAAGTAAGAGACTAACTAGAAGTTCATTAAATCTGGATTCGACCAATCCTTGTTTCTAGAACAGAAAACGTAATACGTCGTTCTTATTGCAATGTTAATGATTTTCCTAATGATATATTTAACACCGGCCTTATCTGAGTTCAAATGTTCCAACATTTGTATGAAATGTGAAGATTCTTTTTCAAAAACACCGAGTGCACTGATTGAGAGGTTAATGAACTTTACCGGCCGGAATTTTTTCTTTTGTTCTACGATCATCTCTTTATATTTTGAATATTTGCGCTGTATATTATTCCTAAGGTTAGTCTCATATCCAACGGTTAGTTCGAGTACATACAGACAATTGTCTTTGGTCAAAATTAGTAGATCAGGACGATGGTCATCACCAGTAATAATAGAGGGGTTAGGGAATGACGGTAAGTCAGCATAAATGGTCTGAATATGTTCTGATGGGAGGTTATTAGCAATAAAATTTAGGATTGAGTCGTGTCTCCAAGTAAATCGATCAAGATAGGAACTACAGCCAGCAACAACGTGTAACAGAGATTCAGGTTTAAGGCAAAACGAGCACTCCGAGGACGAGGATAGTCCCCATTTTTGAAGGTTTTTACGGGTTGGTAGCGAATTGTTTATGTAGCGAATAGTGAAGTTGAAAATGTTTTTTGGTAGTTTGGATTGACAGGTAATAGTAATAGTAATAATAATAGTAATAATAGTAATAGTAATAATAGTAATAGTAATACTATTTACAGTAAAAACAAGAATAAAATGGGTATATGATTATATATAATGCTGTGTGATGTTACTCTGAGTGTGTATCCACACCGGGCAGGCTTGAAAAATGTGCCTGGCCACGGTGGGATTCGAACCTACGACCTTTGGAATACTAGCCCAATACACTGTCACCAGTTACAATTGATGGGCTTTTATAACCAGGAAGATCGACGAAAAGATTGGAGTTGTTTACAGGTTGTAGCGTTTGTGCTATGAAGTTCAGAACAGAATCATGTCTCCATGTAAATCGTGGGAGGTACGTTTGACATCCAGCAACTACATGTAAAAGGGTTTCAGGGTTTAAGCAGGAGCAATCAGAGTTGGACAATATTCCCCATTTAGTAAAGGTTTTTACGATTTGGAAGTGAGTTATCAATGTAACGAATGGTGAAGTTATAGATTTTCTTTGGGAGGTTTGATTGGGATTTAGACCATATGCCTTTTAATTACGACAGTGAAAACTTAATGACATTTGAGAAGAAGGAGCCTTGCAAAATCAGATGATCATTGCATGCAGTTTGTCTTCTTGTCCGGAGGTAAAAGTTTTAAGGACTTCCTTTGTCGAGGTGGAAACGTCGTACTGAATGATAATAATAATAATAATAATAATAATAATGAAAACTTTATTAATAGAACATTTATAGATATATACAATTGTAAATCTCACTAAATCTTATACATGGTTATAGTTTTATATACAAAAATTGTTAATTATTTATAAAAATAGTTACTTTAAATGTTCATTAGTTCGGGATTTGTTCATTCTTTATTTCTACAGCAAAATATGTAGTACGTTGATCGGATGGCAATAGATATCATTTTTCTGATACAATATTGTTGGTGTTGATTATCCAGTCCTAACGCTCATTTAGCATTTTTACGAATGTATGGCATTCTTTGTCAAACACCCCTAGCGAACTGACTGAAAGATTTATAAATTTAACAGATGTAAAGTTTTGATCTAGTTCTCTAATTAGGTTCTTATATAGCTTTCTTGCGGTTAACATTGTTTGTGAGGTTTGATTCAAAGCCTACGGTAAGTTCAACAACGTAGAGGTGTTTGTCTGAAGTGGAGACAAGCAAATCAGGACGATATTCATCACCAGTACTAATCGAGGGGCTTTCAAATCCAGGAAGATCAACAAGTAATTTGCATTCGTTTAAACTTTGAAAGGTTTTTGCAAGAAACTTTAGTATGCAATCGTGTCTCCAAGTAAATCGTTCCAAGTAATGTTGACAACCGGCAACAACGTGCAGAAGTGATTCAGGGTGTAAGCAGAACGAGCAGTCAGAACTTGATGAAATTCCCCATCTACTGAGGTTCTTTGGGGTAGGAAGGGTATTATTCATATAGCGAATTGTAAAGTTGAAAATGTTCTTTGGTAGCTTTGATTGCGATACCGACCAGATTGCGTTAAGTTGTGATAGGGAGAATTTAGAAACATTTTCGAAAAAGGAACCTTGACATTTCAAACGGTTCCTAAGTTTATTTTCTTGTTGAGAATGGAAAGTTTTTAAAACTTCTTTAGTTGAGTTGTAGCTATCGTATTGAATGTTAGTATGATTATTAGTTGACTTCCACAGTTCGTTAATTGAATCGTTTGGAGATGTTTTTAGGGCATTGCGTAGAACTGTTTGACACTGAATGAACTTGACGGATGCAGGGATGATATTTAGACCAAACTTATTACGGGTTAGAAAGATGTTACTTAATGTTCCAGATATAGGTACTTCCAGCCATTTTCGGACGTACTTGTTTACCGGAGAATCGATATTTTCGACTACCCAAGTTTTAGATATCGTAGCAACAGTAAAATGCCAGGATAGTTTCGACAAAACATAACGACTGTAAAGTAAGATTTTGTTTTTTGGGCGAAGAGGTTTAAGATCTATTTCGGACATTAGTTCATCAATGAGGGAGATCAGTTTAGATTTATGTTTTTCATTAGTCATGCTAAAGTCGAAGTGTCGTCCCAAATACTCAAATGATTCTCCAGTCTTAATCGTTGGTATGAGATCCTTATTGATCAAAAGCTTCGGCAGGTACTGGGCAAATTTTGATAAAACTTTTTTGATGCCAAATGTGCTACATTTATCAACTCTAACAACCATGTTGGACCATTGGCACCAGATAGAGAATCGATTAAGGAGATGTTGATTTTCCGACTCCTGACCAGTAATAACCGCAGCATCATCGGCAAACTGAAACCAGTGGATTGGATTAAGGAGTTGGAGGGAGAAGCCGAACTGGCGGTACTTTTCAGCTTTGATATGTTCAATATATGTGTTGAGACACATATTAAATAGTAGAGGACTAAGACAGTCACCTTGCAAAACACCACGGCCAACAGGTATAAAATGGGTACGGAACTCAGAAGTAATTACGGAAGTTTTAAAATCAGTGTATAAGCTTTTTATTAAATTATTC